GCAGCTGATCGATGTTTCTCTCTTATCGATGTTTCTGGCTCTCTATCTCTCTCCCTTCCTCTCTGTAAAAAATCAATAAAATATATTTAAAAAATAAAATAAAATAAAATAAAAATAAAATAATAGCCCTAGCTGGTTTGGCTCAATGGATAGAGCGTCAGCCTGTGGACTGAAGGGTCCTGAGTTCAATTTCGGTCAAGGGTACATGCCCGGGTTGCGAGTTCGACCCCCCAGTAGGGGCATGCAAGAGGCAGCCAATCAATGCTTCTCTCTCATCATTAATGTTTGTATCTCTCTCTCCCACTCCCTTCCTCTCTGAAATCAATAAAAAATATTTTTTTAAATAAAATAATAAGGAAATAAAAAGAAAGAAAAAGTTGCACCCTCTGGAATGCCACTATTAATGGTGGAAGTCAAACAGGAGTTAGCAAGAGAAGGAGCCACCAGAGGACAGAAAACAAGAGTGTGCATGCTGAAAGCCATGGGCGGAGGATGTTGAAGAAGGGAGGAGTCACCAGTTTTCTCGGGAGCTGTTGAAAGCTCAAATAGGATGAGGAGGCCTCATAAGCATCCATTTTGTCCATTAAATTTAGATATAAGGAAGCCACCATTGGCCTTGGAAAGGGTGTGCACACGCACATGTGTGTGTGTGTGTGTGTGTGTGTGTGTGTGTGTGTGATGGGATAGGTTGCAAAGAAATTGAAAGGCAAGGAAATGGAGAAACAAGTGTAGACAGGTCTTTCAGAAGGCTTAGCAGTAAAAGGAAGGATATATATGTGCTTTTCCAAATAAGCCAGATGTTCAAAAACCAGCTCTAGTGACTTATACTTTATGAAATCACATGGGTAAACAAAAATATCAAACATGTAAAATGAAAAGCAGATGATAATTGATAAGTACTGGACAAATATTATTGTTGTTTTTTTAGAGCATTGATCAATTCCTCTGAAGACATGCTTATTGATTTTTTTTGTGTGTGTGTGAGAGAGAGAGGGGAATGGGGAAGGGAGAGAGAGAGGGAGAAACATCAATGTGAGAAAGAAACATTGATCACTTGCCTCCCTTACACACCTTGACTGGGGTCTGAACCCACAACCTAGGCATGTATTCTGACCTTGAATTGAACCCACAACCTTTTGGTGTACGCTCCAACCAAATGAGTCACGCAGACAGGGCTCAAATGACCATTTTGAATCTAGTTTATGGATGAGTAGATAGTATGTTGAGATCTTGTACCTCACAAAGGAGATAGAAGAGTTTAGAGACATATGAAGAATGGGGGTGGCATGACCAGAGGGAAAATCCCAACTCTGACCCCAGGTCAACCACTTAACTTTTCTGGGCCTGATTCCTGATTTGAAAAATGGAGATAACCACCTGTCTTACATGATTATTGTAAGAATCTAAGGACATATACTGTATATCCAAAATTCTGGTGTGGTGCCTAGTGCTTAATAGATAATAAGAGTAGGCTATTGTAATCTGAGTATCAGTGACTCTTAGCCACACCAACCCCAGGTCCCATTCTTGGCTTGGGGGCAGGGTTGTTCAAGTCCATTATGCATCTTTTCCATGTTAGTGTTGAACCACGAATTCTGGCCTTAAATGTCTAAAAAGGACCTGAATTCTGATTGCAGGAAGTTTCTCCATAAGTGAAGAAACAAGGAAAACAAACAGAACTGTAATATTGGCTAGCTTATTTGAGTAGAAGAGATTGTTGGTATTCTCAGAAGCTGCAGTTGCCATGAAAGGCTGCTTAAAAGACATTCGCTACCTCTACCAGCATGATTCATATAACCCATAAGAGTGAAATAATCTATATATATATATATATAAAAGGCTAATATGCTAAGTGTCCCTCCTACCGTCCGACTGGTCGCTATGGCATGCACTGACCACCAGGGGCCAGACGCTCAACGCAGGAGCTGCCGAACTGCAGTGACTTGGCAGCTGCAGTTCTTGGCTGATACACCCTGAAACCAGAAAGGAGAGAGTCCAATTTCTTGTGGGGCTGTGCTATCCCACCTTCGGCCGTGGGTTATGTTGTTGCTGGGGCACTTTCGGCCCCGAATCTGGTTTACTGCACACTTGTGTTTGCGTTCCACACTCTATATAACAGTAACTTTGCAGAGTGCCCTCTCACACTCTGGGACCCCTTGGGGAATGTCGGAGAGCCAGTTTCGGCCGATCCCCGCAGGCCAGGCTAAGGGACCCCACCTAGCAGAAGGACCCCCGCTCACTCAGCAGATGCCTTTCAAGCCACAGCACCACCCCAGGTGCAGCTGCCGAGGAGGGACCATGGGAAGTTGGCTCCAGGGTGTGTCTGGCTCCAGAACGTGTCTGGCCTGTCTCGCCCAGTCCTGCCCCGCCGGCCACCCTCTAATTAATTTCCTTTCAATGTGCACGAATCCGTGCACCGGGTCACTAGTAATAGTGATAAAAGCGTACATTTGTTGAACACTTACTTTGTGCCAAATGCTTTTATTTGAGTAATTCCAATAACCTTATGAGGTTGATACCAATATTGACCTCATTTTATAGATAAGGAATCTGTTTCAGAGAAGCCTCACTTTTGCAAATGAGAAAACCAAATCTCAAAGAGATTAAGTAATTGGCTATGGTCCTAAAGGTAAGAAATGATAGAGACTTTTTATTATAAGTATTATGGTTATGAGTTGTAATATAATTGGTTTACAATTGAGAAAAGCTGAGGATCAGAAAGGGGAAGGGAGTCAGCCAAGGTCATATGAAGGCAGAGCCAGGATTCCAGCCCCATATTTTGGCTCCTGGCCACATTTCTCTACTAGACAATGTGGAGAAAGACCACTTCATCATTGGAGCAGCCCTGGTAGTGAGACAAGGTGTCTGAGAGCCCGAAGGTAGAAAAACAGATCGATTTTCATAACAGGCATTTTCATTAATTACTGTTATTGCAAGCCCAAGGAGAGTGGCACCTTCCCAGAGACCCCTGGGCAATGGGCATTCTTAGTGAGCCACTTAGCACAGTCAAGGTGGAAAAGACACTTACACCAAATGTCACCTCTTTGTTCTGTCAATCTTTTATTTACTCAACAGACACCTACTCTGGACCAGGTGAAACACTGGGACTGGGTGGCCCAAAGGGAAAGAAGAGGTTTACATCTTCAGGGTGCACTTAGGCACATAGCATATGCCTCCTGAGCACTGAGGCCTTCGGGATTCTCATCATGGCCAATCACCTGACCTCATCCCACCCCTCTGTCCTCAGAAGTACATTTGCATGCACTGTCAAAGCAGGTCCCTTCTTATTGGATAACTAAGCATCTTGGCTTTTATGTGTGTTTCAGCCGGGAAGGGCTACCCATGCAAGACATGTAAGATAGTGCTGAACTCCATAGAACAGTACCAAGCTCATGTCAGCGGCTTCAAACACAAGAACCAGTGAGTAATCATTCTTTGAAGTTCAAGGTCTGCAGTAGGAGCTCTGGGCTTCTGAATCAGAATAAAGCCAAGTACTCATTGCCTAAAAGGGAATCCTGACAGCTTTTTCTCGGCCAGTAGATCAGTTAATAGAAAGAAATATCTCCTCTGCAAGTTTTTCTCCCATCAGCTTCACCCTAGCTTTCTCCCCTCCTGGGCTGAAAGTTTTGGTAAAGAAGCATAGACAATTTCCTTGGTGGTCTCCTAAGAAAGAGTACTTGAGGGAAAAAAGAGTACTTGGATTTCCTGGCCTGTAGCAGTTGGACTAGGGAAGTCTTTTTTCACTGGTCTGAAGACCCTGTTCTTCACTACCATCAATCCTGTGACAAGAGCTCCCTCTACAGGTTATTACAAAGTATTACCAGGTTCTGTCATTCATTAATCAAAGATTTATTGAACACCTTGAGTAGTTAGTAGCCCCAACAGATCCAACCCCTGCTCTCAAGACCTTACATTCTGATAGGAGACAAAACATAAGTAAATAACCAATAATTACAAATTATGTTAAGTTATTTTTAAAATATTTTTTTTTATTGTTGATAGTATTATAGATATCTCCCATTCCCGCCCCCCTCCTCCCAGCCCCTACCTGGCCTCCCAGGTCTTCACTACCCTATTACCAGTGTCCATGAGCTATCATATAAGTATATAAGTTCTTTGGTTTATCTCTTCTCATCCTGTGATAAGTTCTTTGAGGGAAGAGATGAACAGAGAGTTGGCTATTCATGGTAATCTTGAAAATGACTAACATTCTTTGAGCACCTGTTCTGTTACAGGCCATATGCCAAGCAGTTTCTCTCTCAGGTAATTCTTAAGCAACCCTTGGAGGAAAGGATTATTATTCTGATTTTACAGAGATAGGCAACCACCACTAAAAGTGAACCTATTCCCTGCCGGCGTGGCTCAGTGGTTGAGGTTCGACCTATGAACCAGGAAGTCACGGTTCAATTCCTGGTCAGGGCACATGCCCAGGTTGTGGGCTCGATACCCAGTATGGGGCATGCAAGAGACAGCCAATCAGTGATTCTCTCTCATCATTGATATTTCTGTCTCTCCCTCTCCCTTCCTCTCTAAAATCAACAAAAATATATATTTTTAAAAAGCGAACCTATTGAGGCAGAGCCATAATTCAAACTGAGGCTTATCTGGCTTACAGCATGCTCCTTCAGGGCATCATGCTGACAGGGAGGTTGTAGCACCACGCGAGATTGAAGAGGCTAGGGTTCGGCCAGGGAGGGCCCTCATAGTTATGTCTCACCTCTCAGAAAGGAACTGTGTAGTATGGACAGTGTGCCACAACATAACCTTCGGAGGTAGAAATTATCCCCATTTTACAGATGAGGAAACGGAATTTCAGGCAGGCAAGTCTGCTGAAATGATAACTTTGACTTCAGTATTTGGTTCTGCATTACTCACCGAGCCAAATGAATTAAAGGTGGTAGAAACAGAATGTTGGAGTCAAAATGTCCTTGGTCCTCTCTACTCTGCCTTAAGTCTCCTCTCCCACACTGCAGAAGGTCTTTCTCTTTATTTGTAGATATGTCTTTAACTGGGAGGACTCTTGAGATTTCTCTTAGATATGGACTTGAAACAAGCTCCAGCAACCCCGCTTCAGGCTCTCTCCGGTTTCAGCATGTCTGCAGCTTGTGACACCTTGACTGGTGGCAATTTCACAGACATTCTGGAGCCAGCCAGAGCCCTGTCCTGAGGCTATCCATACTTGAAAATGCTAGTGTTGTTTACTATTTTATTCCTATTCTTCTCAGCTGTGTCACCTTAGGCAAGTCAGTAAACCACTCTGAGCCTCCAGTTCCTCTTCTGTAAGATTATAGCTATAATCTCATCTAATTCAAAACAGCAGCTCTGAATTAGGACCACCCTTTTACAACCCAAGGAAACCTAATGTCAGGTAGGTTAGGTGACTTGCCTAGGATACTTGGAGTTAAAACCAGGTTTCAAACCTCTTTGATTCCAAAGCCCATTCATTTTGCTCTGCCACTTCCAAATGGAGCTCATTACCCCCACTTTCTAGGATGCTGTGAGGGTTAGAGACAATGTAGTTCAAGTACCAATAAGGGGAGCTATTGGAGATGAGCTTGTATCCACTCAGCAGATACTTACTGACACCTAGTGTGCCAGGCCTTTCGATTTGGACACTGGGGCTACTGTAGGAATCAAGACCAATGCTGTTGCTGGATCCTTTGGATTCCCCTCTGGTGGTAGAAGCAAATCCATAAACAAATAAGTCATCAGGTGGTACTAGGTGACCAGAGTGGGATGGAGAGTGACAGGAGAGTGTGAGGGGGAGAATGGTCATTCTGTACCATTCAGGTCCTGTGGGCCCTTCAGGCAGAATAAATGGTGTGCTATAGTGGGAAGACATGGACTGGTCTGCAATCCTGAATCTACCACACTTAAAAGCTTTCTGTGGGCAGGTCACTTACACTTTCTGAACTTTAGTTTTCTCATATGTAAAATGGAGGTGCTATTCCCCACCCCTCCTTGCAAGATTGCCATGAGGACGAAATAGGATGCTGTAAGCAAAGCATCCATTATCCTGCGTAGTATATTGTGGCCCTCCGTAAAAGGGAGCTGTCCTGTTTGTCAGTCCAAGGCCCATAAGAGCTGTCTACCATTAGAATAAGCTACCTGGGGCACCATTACAACCATTAGAAACTGACCCTGTGCCTTTGTTCCTTCTCATATTACAGGTCACCAAAAACAATGGTATCATCTCTGGGCCAGATTCCAATGTAAAGACAACCCATTCGAAAAGACTCAACTACTTTGGAAGACTAGAGGTGTTTCTGTCCAGCACCCCAGGTTGAATCAGCCATGAGCCAGCCTCCTCCTGACCATGACCATGGTCAGCCCTTGGCTCCCTCTTCCTCCTTTCTTACATAGACCTGAGGAATAGGCCACAGGCAGCCTCTGATTGGTCCAGGCAAATCCACCCGTGTTCCTCTCCTTTGGAATGGGCCCTGAAAGTCAGGACAAAGGGGGATTTTTAGAGGACTTGGGTTCTCACAGGGTAGTAGTTTAGAGGATGGCCTTTCCCCTTCCCTGGCCCTTCTAGGCCACATGTCATGAGGCTCCAGTCCTGTATTTCCTCTGCAAGTCAGTTTTGGACCACTCCTTGCAGCTAAACAACTGAGCTCTCCTGGGCTCTAGGCGTCTTCAATGAAATTTGGCACTTTCATGCCATACCTTGGCCTAGGCAGGAAAGGGCAGATGAAAATAGCTGCCACACGGAAGCTTAGAGATAATGTGACACTCACCCTCCCCCAAAAATGTGCAGACTTTCCTAAGCCTGGGACCAGATGCTGGCCAGTTGTATAGGTTTCTGCCCACTGTGAAGTCTCCTCCTGGAGCAATGCTACAGTCCTGGCAGAGTGTTGCTGTCCCTCCTGCCCCTTCTCCACAGTTCCTGAATGGTGCTAAGGACCTGCAGCAGCTGGAGGCAAGCTAGAGCTGGAGAAGGCCTCAGTACCTAGTGGGATCATGGAAAGGCTCCAGTGGGGCCTTTCCTCTGTGTCAGAGGTGCTCTGACCCAGTTCACATGGGAAAGTCCCCATATGCAAGTCTGCTTGATGGTTCTTGAGCCAGCCAGCTCAGAGATTCATTGCTGCCCATTGGCCTCCACTAGCTCTTTCCTTCCCCATGTGCAGCAGACCATCTGCCCAGGTTGCTGTGGTGCTACCCCTCCCCCATCACTCGCCAGGAGATTCCTGGGTACCAGGTAAAGAAAGGAGGGCTGGCACAAGTTTCCATGGTGAGGAATCAGATGTTCCCCAGGCCCCAAACCTAGATTTCTCCAGCTCTGCCATGCTTTATGGCCTTGGACTTCACTGGGAGTATATTTTCCTTATATCTTTCAAGCAGGAATTCTAGGGAGTGGTACCATCAGAGGCCCTCCTTCATTGGGCCAAAGAAGCCCCTATTCTGCTCTCATCACCTCTGCCTCCCACTCCCTATCCCTTGCCTGTGAAATGCCTTTAGTATTGTGTGTGGGTATGTGCTTATGCTCTGTCTCTTGGTCACTGAAGCATCTAAATAAAGAATTTATCCCATGAGCCAGACTGCAACTTAACAGAACTAGGACTTGGGGCCATATTGCCATTGGGTCTAATATGTATATCTTGATCCCTCACCCTTATCCCATTCATACTCCACGGTCCTAAATACTGGTCTTAGGAATTGGGACAGAGAGAGGCATCCAAATTGTTTGGCAACCCTGAGGAAGTCTTCACACGTGCCCTAAATTCAATAGAACCTCATCTGTTCATTCACCTTCCCCGTAATGGAGAGCCTCATGGAAGTCTCTAGAAAATGTAAACTAGTAACCTGCTTTGCTTGAGAGGATTTTTCTGGCTGCTATGTACAGAAGGGATGTAGGAGAGCAGGAAAGGACACAGACAGAGGTCAATGGAGGCTGTGTCCAATATGGCTCTTTCCAGGCTAACCCCTTCAGGGCAGAGACCTAGCCTTGTTCATCTCCACTTCCCTGATATACAGAGTGGTGTGTCATGAAGTGTTTCTTGAATGAACGAGTGAATGAATGAATATGCATAAGGAGAAATGGCCCTGGTAATTCTTGGAAGAACCTTTTCCATGACCCAGAAATGAGCTGAGAAAGGAGTATGATGGCTTCAGGAGTCCTTTGTCCAACCTTTGTTTCAGACGGTCACATGTGAGGAAGGTGCTCACATAGCTTTAGCTCCCATTCTTCACTCAGCAAACTGTTCTTGAGCACCTGCTCCAGGCCAGCTGGCAAAGACCCTACACAGCCCCAAGTGTGGATTCTCAGCTCTCAGCTTCCAAAGCCCAGACTGCCTCAGCATTTTCCCCAGAATCCTTCTCTCCCACCCAGGATGTCAGAATTGGGCCCATCTACCAAGCAAGGAAGTGAAGTGAAGGGCAGAGGAATGGTGGGCTGCCATACCATGCCATACTCTTGGCCTGCAGGACCGCTTTGGATTCAGGAGTCCCTGCCAGCTGTGTTCCCAGCCCGGTGGCATGGGGATACAGGAATGAACACTTTTCTTTGGAGAGCTTACCACTGTTAAAGACCATTATGGCAGTGGTCAGAGGTTCATACTGGGTGCTGTGGGAATGCACAGGATGCAGGCACTAACTCAAGCCAAGGGTATGAAAAGCTGGAGAAGTTGGGAAACCAGCATTTGATTTGCATAACAATCTTTTGAACTAGGTGATGGTATTCTATTTTCTAGAAAAGGAACAAGGCTTAGAGAGGTGAGTGATTTGCCCAAGGCCTTGCCACTAAAACGGCAAAATGGGGAGTGGAATCGGTTGTCTAGATTCCTATTCCAGAACCCTTTCAAACAAGGACCAGAGTCCTTCCCACATGACCCCCTGGCCTGCCTCACCTATCTGGCTGGGTCATGGTCTCAGAGCGAGCAGCCACTCAGGGCAGGGTAGCAGCAGCACCCACAAAACAGGTCACACAAGGTTCATTGATTATTTTATATTCCAAGCCCCCTCATACTTCTCATAATTTTACCCAAGATTCTCAGTGTATTCAGCTCTAATTGTAACTGTGAGAAACTTGCAAAGGCTAGCTAAAAAGGAAATTTACTGATTCACCTAATGAAAAAACTTGGTACAGGGATGGCTAGACCCAGGTTCTGACAGTGTCATTAGTAAGAATTCAATCTCGCCATGCTTTCCTCTGTGTGGCCTCCCTTGGGCAGACTGCAGAAAGTGGCAAGATGGCCACTGGCAGCTCTAAGCTTATATCCTGATAGATTAGCAACTGCAGTGGGAAGAACATCTTTTTCTATTAGTTCCAAAAAAATGCTGGGACTGACTCATTAGCCAGCTTGGTCCAGTTCCCATCCCTAACCATTCACTGTAGGTAGGAGAAATGGTGCTTTGATTTGGGGCCTGCAAAGGAATGAGCTCCACCTAAAACTGATTGACTGAAAGGGAGAGATGTGTCCCTAAGAGAAGAAAGTGTAGGGCTCTCTCCAGGCTAAGGGAGAAGATTGGGTGTAGATGGGCAAAAATAACTTGTCGGCCACACCAGAAAGTGTCTTTATTTAACCATTTCTTTTTTATTTTTACCCAGACGTTTTGAGATACAGGATACATTTAGTAATGTGCGCCAATTTTTAGAGTACAGTTTGCCGAGTCCTCCTCACATATGTGTATTCATCTGGGCATTCACCCTCCAGATCAAAATACAGAACATTGCCAGCTCCCCAGAAGGTTCCCTTGTTTCTCTTTCTAGTTAGTATCCCTCAGAGGTAAACACTATTTTGATCTCTATCACCATAACTTAGTTCTGCTTGCTCTTGAATTTTATAAAAATGGAGTCATACATCCATTTTTGCTCAATATTATGTCTGTGATTTCATCCATGTTATTGTGTATATCAGAAGTTCATTTTTTTCATGCTGTGAGGTAACTCATTATATGAATACACCACAAGTTAGCCATTCTGTTGATGGACAATTGGGTTGTTTCTAGTTTTGAACTATTATAAATAAAGCTGCTGTGAATCATTTTGTCTGTGTTGTTTGTTGTACATGTGCACGAATATACCCAGGAGTGAAATTGCTACATCATAGGTAGGTACATTTAGCCTGTCTAAATACTGCCAAATGGTTTTCCAGAGTGTTTCTACCAACCTACATACCCACCTGCATTGTGGGAGAGTTCCACTTATTCCATATCCTTGCCAGCACTTGCTAGTTTTGGTCTCTAATTTTGGCCAGTCTGGTGATACCTAGGAATTTGAACCCAAGGATCCTGACTTCATACCAAAGCCACTCTTACTCTGTTCACTCCTGAGATCAGGTTTGAATTTTTCTAGCCTAGAATGATTTCTGATGTCAGTGCCCAGAACCCACAATACAATACAATCCAGCAGGTAAACATCAGAGAGAACTGTCCATGGCTCTGATGGTCAAGAAAGGTCTCACAGAGGAAGAGGAATCAGCCATGGAGAGGCAGTCTGGTGTAATAGCAAAGAACTCAGGCTCTGGAATCCGGCAGCCAGGGTTCAGATCCCAGCTCTGCCACTGTGGGGCTATGTGATCTTAGTTAGTTGACCTATATCTCAAGGTGAAACAGTACCTACCTTATAGGGTTATTGTAGGAATAAAAAGAAAAGTTATATATGAAACAATTGCACGATAGATGCTGTGTAAGTCTACTGCCATTGTTCTATTATTGGCCTACAGTAAACTGTGGGCCTCCCTGGGAAGGAAGGTGAGTCCACAGGTAGATTGCATTTGGCACAGTCCTGTGTTAAGACTTAATGATTGCGAAGGGATTAACCAAAAATAGAAAACCTCCTAGGCCAGTGATGGTGAACCTATGACACGCGTGTCAGAGGTGACACGCGAACTCATTTTTTTGGTTGATTTTTCTTTGTTAAATGGCATTTAAATATCCTATCTAATAATAGACAAACATGGTAATTGACCATACCTTTGGTACGCCTCCCATTGGCTAATCAGCACGATATGCAAATTAACCGCCAACAAAGATGGCAGTCAATTTGCATACGTAGGCTCCAAGCGGTGGAGCGAAGCCTGACGGCCCCGGGGTCGGCAGAGCAGCGAGGCCTCACGGCTCCGGGCCGGCAGAGCCGTGAGGCCTGACGTTTCTGGGCCGGCGGAGCAGCAAAGGCTGATGTTTCCAGGGCCGGCTCCGGCCGGAACTCGGCCAGAGCGAAGGCCTGGGTCCTGGGTGCCAGAGGCAAACTGGTGCCAGCAGCCAGGGGAAAGGAAGGCCTATTGCACGAATCTCATGAATTGGCAGAACTTAAACCTCAGCTGGAAGAGAAATGGGGGGAGTAGCTAGCGTTTTGAGCTTCTATCATGAGTGAACTGTGCCACATAAAATGGAGGTATTTCTCAAACCTAGCAAACAGTTCAGATGACAAACACCAGAATAAGATCTGATCTTGTGGTGGTTCTAAAATGTATCCACAGCCCTAGCTGGTTTGGCTCAGTGGACAGAGCGTCAGCCTGCGGACTGAAGGGCCCAGGGTTCGATTCCAGTCAAGAGCACATACCTTGGTTGCAGGTTCCCCAGCCCGGGTCGGGGTGTGTGCAGGAGGCAACCAATCAATGTGTCTCTCTTACATTGCTGTTTCTCTCTGTCTCTCCCTCTCCCTTCCACTCTTTAAAAAAATAAAAATCAATGGAAAATCCTCAGGTAAGGATTAACAAAAAATAAAATATATCCACAAATTTCTTTATATTGTTCTCTTCAAGAGGTCAAATTTAATCTCCTTCTACCCCACTCTCCATCCCCATGTGGGCTATACTTAATGTGGATAAAAAAGGGATTGTACAGAAAGTAACTTCACAGGGTGATCTGGTCATAAATTCCTAACTGGGCAGAACATGCTGGGTAGCCTTGCCCCAGGCATGTGATTTATTTGGTAAAAGGTTTACCTTTGCCTTAAACCAGCCCTGTGCATCTAGGTTAACACACCCTTGAAATGCCCCCTTTCAGACTCCTCCTTCTGAACCATGACCATCCTCAAGAGAGCACATAGTCTTTTCTTTTAATATAGACTATGCTATATATTTATTTTTTAAGTTGATTTTTTAGAAAGAGAGGAAGGAAGAGGGAGAGAGAGCGAAACATCAATGGGTTGCCTCCTGCACACACCCCCTTCCCCCAGCCAGGGATCAAGCCCACAACCCAAGCATGTGCCCAAACCAACAACCTCTTTTTTTTTTTTGGAGGCACTGCTGGGATTCGAACCCATCAACAACCTCTTGGTGCATGGGACAATGCCCAAGCAAATGAGCCACACCAACCAGGGCTTTTTTCCGTGCTAATATTTTTTTATTGATTTTAGAGGGAGAGGGAGAGAAAAATCAATGTGCAAGAGAAACATCCATCAGTTGCCTCTTGTACGCACCCCAGCCAGGGCCTGAACTCGCAACCTGGGTATATGCACTAACTGGGAGTTGAACCGGCAACCTTTCAGTGCACAGGACAATGCTCAACCAACTGAGCCACATGGGCTAGGGCCAAGACCACATAGTCTTTCTTTTTTTTCATTGATTTGAGAGAGAGAAACCTATTTATGCATTCATTGGTTGATTCTTGTATGTGCCCTGACCCTAGATCAAACCCACAACCTTGGTGTATTGGGACAACACTCTAACCAACTTAGCACCTGCCAGGGCCGAGACCATGTAGTCTTAACTACCCTGTAGTTGGGTCCCCACCTTGCTTTTTCCCACCTGTGTAATCTTCATTAAGTTCCCTCCTTAATCTCAAATGCATAAATAACACTGCAAACTATTATTCTCCACTGCATTGATCTCAGTCTGTTGAGATCTTCCAGGTGTATTTTTTATTTGGCTTAAATAAATTTTGGTAAAAATTTTATACGGGCTTGGATGTTCTTACTTCAATATTAGTGATTCACTCTGACAATTAGAATAAGGCAGAAGTGTTGAAGTGTGACTTTTGAGAGTAAGTCATAAAAGGACAGTGTCAGTCTCTCTTGGATCATCAGCTCAGAAGGAAACCAGCTGACAGGTTATGAGGTTACTCAAGCAGTCCGTGGAGAGGCTCACATAGAAAGAAATGGAGGTCTTCGGCCAGCAACTAGCCAGATGTTTATTTTAAGTTTGGGGGTAATTTTTATGCAGTAATAGATCTCTAATACAGGTCTTTATTCTAAGCGAAATGGGAAGACATGAAAGGTTTTAAACAAATAGGACCAAGAACATGATGAATTTGCTGACTTATAAACAATGAGTACCACGGCCTAGGAGCCAAAAGAGGATAGTGGAGACACACAGGAGGGAGGAGTAGTTTCTACCCAGAGGTCAATTATTAGGAGTCTTTTATTTATGAGTAAAACAAGAAGTCAAATTAGCTTAAGAAAAAACGTATTTGGCCCTAACCGGTTTTGCTCAGTGGATTGAGCGTCGGCCTGCAGACTTGAAGGGTCCCTGTTTGATTCTGGTCAAGGGCATGTACCTTGGTTGCATCCCCAGTAGGGGGTGTGCAGGAGGCAGCTGATCGATATTTCTCTCTCAGCGATGTTTCTAACTCTCTATCCCTCTCCCTTCCTCTCTATAAAAAAATCAATAAAATATATATTTTTTTAAAAACTTACTTGGCTCACATAAGTGAAATGTTCAAAGAGGTAATTTTGGCTTCAGGCATGGCTCCATCCAGGCACTGCTCCATCTCTTGGCCCTCCTATTTCCTGTGTTGGCTTCATTCACAGGCAGGCTCTCTTAAGCAGCTCTGGGCTTACATCTTCATATCTCAGTAACCTCTGAGAGTTAGTTTCCTATTAGTTCCAATGAACAACTCAGATTGGCCCTCATTGGCCCTGCTTCAGTCACATGCTCATCATTGACCAAATCACAATAGCCTGAGGGGGGTGGGGGTGAAATAGTCACATTAGCCAGGTTCAGGGCACAGACCCACCAGGAGAGCATAGGAAAAGTGTTGGTTCCATCCAAACCCCTGTGGACAAAAAAGGGGTGCTGCAATAAATCATGAATTCCTAAATGGGCAGATCACACCCCAGGCCTATAACTTCTTTAGTGAAAGGTTTTTAAGCCAGTCTTGTCTATTGTCCTTATGCATCTAGATTAATACACCTTTGAAATGCCAGAAGTAATATCCCTAGAAGGCACCCTTAAAACCACCCTTAAGAGAGCACATAATCTTGTAATCCAATCCTCACCTTGCTTTTTCTCCTACCCTCATGGATCCTTCCTCCCTTCCCTCCTTAATTTCAAATGCATAAAAGAACCTCCAAACCTCTCTTTCTTCGAGATCATACTCCCTTATACATTGTCAGTTTGGCCCAAACAAACTCATAAATATTCTCTGTAGGTTTGGCCTAGAAATAGGAGAAGGCCGGGCCCTGAAAGAAAAATGAGGACCTGGGCGGAGAGAGAGAGAGAGAGAGAGAGAGAGAGAGAGAGA